AAAGACGAAAAAAAAAAAAAAAAAGGAAGAATAAGACAAGAAAAGACAAAAAAAAAAAAACAAAAAGAAAAAAAAGGAAAAAAAAAAAACGAAGAAAGGGAAAAGGGAAAAAAAAAGGGAAAAGAAAAAAAAAAAAAAAAAAAAAAAAAAAAAAAAAAAACACAAAAAAAAAAAAAAAAAAAAGAAAGAAAAAAAAAAAAAAAAAAAAAAAAAAAAAAACAAAAAGAAAAAAAAAGGAAAAAAAAAAACCGAAGAAAGGGAAAAGGGAACGAAAAAGGGAAAAGAGCAAAAAAAATAAATAAAAAAAAAACTAGAAAAAAGATGAAAGAAATGAAAGAAAGAAAGTAAATAAAGAAAGAAAAAAGGCAAAAAAAAAAGAAACCCAAAAAAAAGAATGAAGAAAAAACAAGAGAGACAAGTTGAAAAGAGCAAAAAAGAAAGATAATTAAAAAGGAACGAGCGAAAAAAAAAATTAAAAAAAGAAGTGAAGAAATAAGGCGAAGAATAGACGAAAGAGAAAAAAAAAATAAATAAAAAAAATAAAAAACAACGAAAACAAAAATGAAGGGAAAGAAAAAAAGCAGAAGATAAAAAGTAAGAAAAATAAAAAAAAAATAATAAAAGCGAAGAAAATAAAAAAAAAAAGCGAAAAAAGCCAACATCAAAACAAATATCTGCGCAAGAAAAAAGCGAAAATAACCAAAAACTAGTGTTTAATAAAGGCGAAAAAAAAACAAAAAAAAAAATATCAAAGTTCATACATACGTACATATCCGATGCAAAAGTGTGAAAGCCAAAAAAATAAATAAAAAAATACTGATTATCAATGTATATATATGATCATCAATCTTAAAATTGATTGGCTGATCATATAGGGTTGTTATGGTAACAGGTCGCTATTGTAATTTTGTCTTTTTAAAAAATTATTTTTAAAATTGCATATTTTTGGTTTATAAGTATTTTAAAATTTTTTTCTTATAATCTAAAAATAAATACTATAAAAAAGTAATCTATATTTTCAAATATTATTATACCAAATTTTATTTGAATATTTTAAGTTGTTAAAAAAATAGATCAGTAGCATATTTATAGTACCAACACAGGCAAATTTGCTTGTGTTGGTCTACAATCTAAGGGATAAAATTAATATTATTTTGAATTATAGTTAGATTTTGTTCTTGTTTCTCTGATTGATGCTAGAATAAAAATATTTTAGTTACTTCTTTTATATTAGTGGCTAATTTATGGCAAAAAAAAATCATTATAATTTACCAACCTTTCCTTTTTCTACTTCTCAAGCATCTTTATAAATTTTTTGGCATTGTGGCTAAAATAAAAAAAAACTTAGTATACTAATCTCATAAATAAACACTTCCTATTATTTAATACTTAAAAATCAATTGGTACTAAGTTTGATCACTTTTTATTTTTTTTTGTAAGATTCATGCTTATGGATGACAATAAGGTACATGAAGGTATTGCTCGTATTATACCTAGTATAGGATAAACCTATACCAGATAACAAATCTCTTGCACTATACTCTTCGATATTTACAGTGCCAGTATTTTGTAAGCTAAGACATATGCTTAATTTTGTTTGCATATACCTGAATACAGACAGCAACATAGGTCTATGTTGTTTTCTTACTACTCTCTTATATATAGTATTTCATTATCTTTTTTCAGGAAATATATCTAATTATTTTTATTATATACTTTGGGTATAGTATCAAATTGTAATAAAATATCCTCTAGTTTATATTTATTTCTTAAACTGCTTCTATTACATAATTCTATACCTTCCTCAAGTTTACGATGATATTGAGCCTCTGCTCTGTTAAGGTTAGCTTTCCTTAAAACTTTGACACTCAGTAAATAGATGCTTGGAAGCTATTCTCTAAAGTACAACTCCTGGCTTTGTTGATTACAGTTGAGATAAAAGTAATTTTCAGTATTATCAGACATTTTTAGATAAATTTAGACAATAAAATATATAAGTATATAAATTAAACAGAATCACTAAAAAGTGATAAATAACAATATCTTCACTATACTGCCCTTTTATATATTTTTCTTATCTCTTTCTTGAAACTCAAAATGTTAGATAGGTTAGACAGAAGTAAAAATATATACTTTATATCGAAATTTTCTATGATAAAAGTTGGAGCATATATTTTCACACAGAGAAATTTTTGAAAAGCACAGCAAAGAATTTCTATGTATAGATTATGCATTAGCTATGTAAGGTTAAAATTGTTAAAAATAAGACTTGATACTCCATAGTATATATATACATTGTGTGTATTTAGACCAAATAAGATTTTGGTCCAGAGTAAATTCTTTACAAAATGAAGAATAAATATGGGATGTGAGATATAGCATGAGTTAATTGACCAACTTTGGTTAGTGACTAATTCTAATAAATACTAAAATAGCAGTTTTTAATTGTATCCTATCTCACAAATAAGTTATGCATAATGATAAGTCTTCTAAGATAGTATAGATAAATTCTATATGTGAAATTATTATGCTAAGTTTAAATTATATATTCCATCTATACAAATCTGTAATAAGTAATATTTGTATTTGTGACCTGTTTCCAAACAAATTATTAGTAGTAAGCCTCATAATATTTTTCTAATTTTTTTCATTAATCTTGTTTACTATTATATATCAATGTATTATATACTAGAGTTGCTGGTGAAACTAAATTGTGCTAGTAAAACTAGTGACTATCTAAAATCTAATTAGCTATTAAGTACAATAGCCAATTAGATTTTTGATAGTCGCCAGTTTCACTAGCACAATTTAGTTTCACCAGCAATTCTAGTATATACATAAGTAAAATTTATTTTAACTAAAATTTGATCTTTCTAATAATATAGATGTTTGAACGAATTCATTTAAAAATTAAATTACAAATATAACTTTATTAATTTGTAGAAAATGGCCTGGGCTAGCTAAGTAGAAAATGAATATTGAAGTAGTGGTATTTCAAGAGAGAAATTTGCTAGCCTCTAGACTATAATATAGCAGTTCCTTTCCACTACTCCATATTATTAGCTAAGTTAAAATTATTTTTGCTATTGACCTAAGCATCTATTTTATTTAAAGTACTACTTTTAAAAACACTATTATTATAATAAAAATTTTTTATAGTTTTCTTACTAATCTTTCCCATCCCAAGACCACAAATCTCAACAGATACTATATTACATATATCATCTAAAGAATAATTATTTTCTGTTATAATTTTATCAAAAATAATTTTAAAGTGATTTTTGAGGACCCAAAGTAATCTATATAGGGGTAAGAATATAATTTGCTTATTTTTGACTGTTTTTTTACAGATCTTTTCTATTTTAAATAAGATATATATTTATTTTTGACTATTTTTGTGCAGATCCTTCTATTTTTAGTAATTTTTAAAACTCTTACTTCTATATAAATTGCTCGGGATTCTGATTTCTGGCTGTTGAAGTAATATTAGAAAATGATAATTGGTTTGAGCTACTGGAAGAACCCAAAGAAGAACCAGAAGATCCTAAAGAAAAACTAGAAGATCTTTAGGAAAAATTAGATATAAATACAGATGAGCTAGCAAATTGTTCAGATATTAATAGTGATACAAAATACATTTTAGTTAAATAGTTTAACTAGTCATGAAGTAATTTATAATTAGTGATGATTTCATTAATAGTTTCGATCACAGTATTTACTATTGTCAAGATTTTTTGTCCCTCGACCACAATTGTAGTATCTCGTAATATAAGATCTATGGTTAATCTTTCTATATGTGTATCGAGTTCTGCAATAAGTTGCTGTCTGATGACATATGTAACAGAGCATATGGAAACAAAAATCAGATGAACAGGAATTTTCTCAATGAATATCATTATTAATACAAAGGCCAAAAATAGTACAATTTTTGAAATATTGATCGAAGATATTTATAATAGGGTAAAAAGATTATTAGTATAGATATACGAGTGCGAAAGTAATATACAAACAAATTAATTAGGCTATTGTGATACTAATATCTTATTTTCAAAAAAAATTACAAATATGTTGTTTTGTTTTTAGAAGAATTAGCCGGAGACTAGCAAATGTCTAATTTTTTTATTGGTTATTGTAATTTATTACTAAAGACAATTATAAAGTAGCTAGAATAACTTATTGTTTTATTAGCTATGCCCCCTTTTAGAGATATTATTACAAAGAAAATAGTAGAGGAGTATACTAAAGATTTTTGGATCTTTTTTATACAAGATTAAGATTTCATATCTTAGAATCTAATTTGTTATCTCTTTTAGTAAAAGCCAAAATATACTAAAAAAATGTTAATTACATTGTTATCGTGTTATTATTGATTTATCATCAAAAACATAGGTATAAATTCTGATTTTGAGAATAGGGATCTAGATCTAGAAACTTAAAAATACATGGTCTGGGTAACATTGAGTAAGATAAGAGATATTTATTAGCTAAAGGGTTGCTTATGCTAAAGCTAGTATATCTAATGAATATTTACAATTACAATGCTAACCATCATATTAAAATCCTATTAATATACACATATATATAGATTTTTATACAATTAATAACCAACTTCTAAAATAATATTAGAGCGATATGTAATCTTATTTAGAATTTAATTTTTGTAATGCTACTTAATTTTTGGTTAAGTATCAGATATAATTTTACTACTCCAAGTATATTTAGCAGTAAAGTCATGTATAATACAAATTTATTCTATTTTATTAGTAGAAGTAGCAAGACTAATATATCATTCCTTATATTATAAAAACTTCTATAGCAACTTTGATATCTAGGCCAAGTATTGCAAAGCAATATATATACTAGAAAATTTGAACAAAAACATAATAAGTTCAACATGTGTATTATTTTATAGCAATCGATTCATCCAAGACACATATAACATCAGTAGTATATGTGACTTAGAATCTTAAGCTATTTACAATTTTATATCTAGTGTGTTAACACTTCTCTTTGTTTGCATTAGAGACATGACAAAAATCAGGTGATTTTTTAGAAGAGGAGAGGGTAAAAAAAATTAAAATTATATATAAGAACCTGATTTTTTTTTTGTATTAAAAGGGGAAGAGGGTAAGTCTCTGATAAAAAATAATCAGATGATAAATAACACTGCCCTTATCTTATACATTTGATGACTGTAACTTTGATGTACTATATTTTGAATAAAGACAAGTGATAGTAATAAATAATTCGATATAAGATATCAAGATAATTAATTAAAAAAATTTTATATCTCATATTATGCTCACATAATTGCTAATGCTTTGGTCTTATTGAGTAAGTTAGACTCGATGATTCTGATTGTATTCAAGACAGACAAGATGTATATTTTCTTCAATATAATCTAATTTATTATCAATTTGATCTACCGTCTTATTGATTAGAATTTTTAGCTTTATTCTATTTCTACAACATTTCATTAAGATATAATTCATATTTATTTTTTTGCAAATCTTTTAATACAAGGATATAATCAACAGATAAATTAAATTTACAACTTTTTTTCTTATCTTGATCTATATATTCTACGAGTTTTTTAGAAATAAATAGTCTCAATAAATGTTTGATAGCTTTCTTATTTTTTGTATCTTCAATCTTAGAAGGTAATGAGGAACCTTCAATCTGAATAAGTTGGCACAAATATTCTACATGACCAACTGCAAGATAAATTAGATTATCTTAGTCTAAATTTGCACAGATAAATTTCTTTAAGTTCACTTCTAACATATATCTAGTAATCCCAGTTTGGTATAGAAAACATTTTGCATGTCATAGTAGAGAAGTATGCATAAAAAATAAAAGATAAACTTTAATAGTATTGTTACAATATCTTCTTGAAACCAGTATTTTAGAAGACTTAACTATTAGAGAAGCAATTATTTCTCTTATATGGCAGACTAAAGTATAGTACCAAAAAATTGAAATATTAGTTGTGCAATTATAGATAAGTTTATACAGGATAGAAAAATGAAGAAAAATGACTTACCCATCATCTTGTAATAGATAAAGATGAACTTGATTTTTTAATAAAAGATTATACAAATGCTAGAACTTTTACTAGAAAAGAAAGATGCCTACTCAGATTTATACTTATATATTTTGAGAGTCATCAGCCTCAATATACACATTTGCAGGCTTTAATGTTAGCATATACATATATTAATTTGTTAGAGATATTTCGAAGATTTGATTCTAATAAAGTAGTAAGAGATGTAACAAAAATCAAATGATTTTTTAGAGGGGGAGGGGATAAAAAAATTAAAATTATATATAAAAACCTGATTTTTTTATATTAAGAGGGGAGAGAGGTAAAGCTCTGATAAAAAAAAATCAGATGATAAATAACACTGCTCTAAGGATTGCTACAGATTCTATATATATATGAAAAGAGGTATTATATAAGATCAAAAATATACTAGCATTTTTTAACCAAGTTGAGGTAAAATCAAATTCAAATTTATGTTTATACTATTCTTCTTGTGCAATGTGTAGTGATCCAGAAAAATTTCTTATTTCAAAATCAGAATATGCAAAATAGATTAAAGAGTTTCTAAAAACAAAAAGGCCTCTAGTAAAATATAAATATAAAAGGTATACTCTGTTTGTTTGCAGATTTTGTTTTGGGGAATGGTTTTATAAATCAGATTTTTGTTAAAAGCAGTTAAATCAGCAAGAAGAACAAGAAGTTCGAGAAATTCAACCTGGTTAATAGCATAATAAGGATGAAAAATATATGGACTAGTTGCTGATATTGTATACTGGCCAAATAATAGGTATTGGAAATCGATCAAAGATATTCCAAATAGTATAGTTCTATTAATTTATAATTCTATTACGGTATATCGAAATTTATATCTCAATAGAGAAGGTGGATCTAGTAGAATGACATGAGCTATCAAAATTTTTAAAGACATAAATATAGTTGTTTTCATTCATACAAATGTATTAGCCAAAAACTTTCAAAATAACCATAAAGTAAAAGCCCAAACTTGGCATAGTTTCTTTAGATAGAATGGTGTAGAAGAGTAGACTTCTAAACATATAAGAGAAAAAAAATTTCTGCAAGTTGTTATATAGGATGAAGTATGTACAATATTTAAATATATTTTAAAAAAGTTTATCAATTATTTACTAGAGCAAAAATGTCAAGTAATTTGTTGTGGTAATGATGCTTAGCCTTCACCATTCTTTGAAGAAATATCTCATAGCTAGTTAAAAAAATAAGCTAATTACTACGAGGAAGTCTTGACTGACTATCAGACCAAATGTTCTAAATTATGTGAACTCAAAAAGGAAATGCATTATAAAAATAATCAAGTACAATCAGAATTATTTCGTAGAGCAATTCTAGTTATAGAAAAATGTAAATATTTTGAAAAAGAATAGTTTTCCTCAAATTGAATTCTATCAGCATATCAACTTTTTCAAAGACTTGCATCACAAATATGTCTTAAGCTTCATTGTACAAAATATCTCGAAATTTCAATTCCATTAATTGGCAAATCACGAGTCATCTGAACAAATATTTTTTTTTATATATATAAATTTTACTATGTGGAGCGCGCCTATCTAAAACTTTTTTTTTACTAAGTAAATCACGTTAAAATCGGCTTGGTAGTTCTTGAGAAATCTTTAAAAAACTTCTTTTTCACATATAAAATTTCTTTAAAAAAA